CGACTTCACATGTTTAGCCGAAGCTACATAGCTTGTTGTTCGCATTAAACCTTATGGAAGTCTTATTTACACTAACATAACGTCCATAGACTTGCATTAAATCGTATTACTTTAACCGTCTCATTAATCGGTGAATTTAACTTGAGTTCGCTCTTTTGAAGCTTGAATTTCATATGCGTAGTTTCGGTGTTTGCAGCTGATTATAAAATATGTAGGATAATTTACGCAAACAAGCAGCACTACTCCACACACGGATAGCGTTGCCTGCGACACTGAGGACGGCTGCTATACAAGTCTACCAGTGCAGGTAGTACTCCGACCGAATTATGGAAAAGGGCATCGTGTCAGTTTCACTGTTTTGTTAGAGCAAATATTGAAATTGCTCCAGGAGCAAATCGATGAGAATCCAAAAAATGTTCGCGAAAACAAAATACTCCAAAATAACAGCCACTAAAATTACCTTCTTTGTAAAATGATCTGTTTTATTTACATTAATCAACATGGATTATTTTATGAAATTTTCACTGTATTTATGTATGTTAAACACAGGGATGATCTCTTTTTAAAGGGATATGACATTAAAATGTAATAAGAATATTAACAGGTGAATATATCACAGATACTTATAAGTTATACTTACCTTTGTTGTAAAATGGTGATAGCCTGTGTTGTTTAGAAAGTGTTCTGTGTTGTTAAGATAGTCTGATGCAAGCAATTCACAACTGTGCAATCCTTGGGAGTTAGCAATTTTGTAGAAGTTTAACGAGATACATAGCCTGTTTGCAGCACAGTCAACAAGGCACTCTTTGTACGCCTTCACTTGAAGGATTTTAAATGGTGGAATGTGCAGAGTYTTGTTCAGAACTTTGATGAATTTAGCCAACCCAAATCCTGTTTTAGGGTCTCGTAGTTTGGATATGTTTGCTGCATCAAATTTCAAAACTTGACTGTTGTCGCTTTTAGAGGAATTAAAAAGACGAGACAACACAAAAAGGAAGAAAACCTTTAAGAATGACATCATATTGTGCTAAATAAACTATCAACTCTTCTTTAGGAAAAATGCCAAATTTTGCTAAAATTCAATTTTTTTTGGAACATGAATAATAAATGATGTACAAAACTATTGTGAATTTCCATGAATTTCATTGGAAGCTTGCCACTTGCGTCGCCTGTCACGTTTTGATGTCAGTTATTAAACGTGATGTTTTTAATTTGAAGACATCATGCAATCAAATATTCCGCCCTTTTTGTGTCACTGCAAGAAGTTTGTTTTTACTTCAGTTAACCATACATGTTCTTTCTTAGATTTAATAGCTACTGTCAATTTAGACTATTTTGCACTAATTGTAGATAAGGTCGTTCCTTTTTCTTTTTTTGATCTTAGTTAAAAAACGCAGTTAAATTAATTGATTTCACTTAATTATTTATTATGTCACTAGTAATAAACATTCAGTATTTAAGAAAAAATTAATGTCTTGGATTATCGTCAGTTTCACTTTGGATTATCGTCAGTTTTCTTTTTTTGTATCTAGTTTACTAAAAACAATTACTTAATGAGGGCCTCAATGAGGATGACTTTCATATGGGCAAAAGTTTAGCCTTCAACCCGCAAATTGCTGTTTTTTAACCGTTAACTGTTAAAAAAGTTAACCGTCAAGACCGTCGACATAATAAGCGAGAGGATATTTTACCCTAATTTACATGAGCGTTTTTCTGTAATCCTCTCCCTCCCAAATAGCTATCAATGAGTGCTTTAATCCTTTCATTATACATAGTATAAGTCATGATATCGGTCACTATAAATGTCACATTAGGATCGTGTGATAGTATACTAAGTATAAAATCATGAAATATTATAAAAATCAATAAATAACTTTGCTAAAGGTGATTAATATTATYACTTTTGTTGTTGTTAAATATTAATTAGACGATCTTAAGCGCCGAGACCCTCTTATATAAACAAACTTTACATAATTGTCGAACGCTGCAAGTAATACAACCCTTATGGATGTAGGGAGACAATGAAATTCCTCATTTGATAGCGAAAATCTTTTGAAGAAAATTTGTGATTTTGTTAACCGAAAATGTGCGCCATTGCCAGGTTTACTAAAACAACAAAAAGCAACTAAAAACCTTGACAGTGACATTGAAAATAAGCTCGAGAAGCAAAATAGGAAAAGGCTCTTGATGAAGGTCATCTGACATACTCTTATTTGCTGAAAAAATTGAAAAATTAAAGAATGAAGAATGAAAAATTAAAGAATGAAGAAATTTCAAGAAATTTAAATCCGAAATACCTAAGAAATAATAAGACAAGAGCGGATATATTATGTAAAGAGCCTGTTGAAAAATATATGGTGATATTAAAAAATATAAAATACAAACACATATACTTTAAATCGACGGAATAACTGTTACGGAGTGTCTGAATGTCAGACAGCCTGATAAAGTGATCAAAATTAAGCTTAAAAGTCTGGCAAAAAAAAAAGAATGTATAATTGGAAATTGTTCAAAATGACGACGTAATCGCGATATAAACGTTAGAGTTAGAAAAGAAAACTTGTCCTCTGAAGTTATTGCTTTCAAGATTCCGAAAAAAAGTAAGGTTGCTTGTCTTCTACCAAGTTTGTCTTTGTTGATTTTATGACAACTCGCTTATTGAAAAAAAAAAAAAAAAATTCAATCCGTTGTCAGTGATGTTTTTATGAGTAAAATCTAAACGCAATATGAAGACTAAAAACGTGTCAGTCTTACAGAAACTGCATGAGTTTGGAAAACAGCTTACGGTAGGTTTCTAACTTTCATTCCTACCTTTGCATAACATCAAAAATACATATCTATAGTGCTCGTAGTCTTGACATTTAACGTTTTGACTTCTGCATCTCTTCTGCTCAATCGGTTGACTATATATCGACTCCTTCATTGATTCATCGATATTTGTCTCTATTTCTCAGCTTTTGTTTCCTAGTACATTTTACATGTGTTTCATGATGATCAACTAGCACTTAATGTAATTTCTTTAGGGTCTCGTAGCTAGTTTTTTAGGAAATCTGTTGATGGTGGAAATTTTAAGCGAACAAATATAACAAACTGATTTTCATCAAATTTATAGACAGGAGTTTCACCATCAAATGACGATTTTTGATTGCCTGAAGATTTTTTTTTATTGTTTCTTAGATAATTAGCAGTGAGTAATACTTGCACCAGTATTACTTTGATACACTGAAATTGTTATATTTTTGCACAAGTAAAAAACCTTTAAAATGAATTGTTCCTCAGCCACTCAGAATCAAGTAATTTTCTCATGTATATATCAAGAGAAAGGCCCAAAACTTATTTCATGCAATGTTCATCGTTTTCGACTCGAGTTAATAATAATAATAATTAATAATAATTTATTATAGCATATTATAAGGTTCCTATGCTTCACAATAACTAAGTAAACAAAACACTATATTTACACTTCTAAAAAGAAAAAAAAGGAAATTAACTAATTAATAAACATGGCTAATTAGTCAAAATGATCTTGGAAAAGATAAGTTTTAAGTCTGGTTATAAAGTTAGTGAGCGAGTCCGCATCACGCTCATGTTGTGGGAGGGCATTCCAGGCGCATGGTGCAGCCACTGCAAATGATCTTTCGCCGTATGTTTTCGTGCGAGATTTTGGTACCACGAGTAGGAAGGATTGTGCCTCCTTAGGAGGGCAGTAATGTACTGGATTCTTTGCAGTTTTTCAATTTCAGAGTTAGGAAGACTTAGGAACCACCTCATTGCATGAATCCATCTTTGAGGTAATGAACGCTTGGACTAGACGTTCAGTGTCCTGATCAAGATAATTCCTTATTCTACCTATATTCCTGATTGAGTGCATAGCTGATTTACACAGATTGTTCACTTGCTCAGTCATTTTCAAATTGCTGTCAACAGTAACACCAAGGTCACGGGCCGATTAAGTAGAAGCAATGCAGCAGACTTCAGAGATGGGATCCAGGTGACTGGAAAACCGAGATGACAAGTGCACAATCTCACTCTTGTCAAGATTACAAGAGAGGCAGTTTCTCGTACACCAGAAGAATATATATTCACAAATAGCTCGAGACAAGACAGGGCAGAATTACGATCTTCAGTAGAACCAATGGACAAGTACAACTGTGTGTGGTGTGTCATCAGCATAGGTCATAACACTAAGTCCAAGAGCCAGTATTACATCCTCAAGAGGAGCGAAGAACAAAGAGAATAGCAGCGGACCAGGCACGGATCCTTGAGGAACACCGAACCGGAGAATTTTCTCCTGAGATAGATCCTTTATAGCAACTTGTTGGGATCTTTCTATGAGGTAGGATTTAAACCATTTGAGAGCAGTTCCAGAGATTCCATTGCGACACTACAAGCGTGAAATTAGAGCCTCATGATCAATGGTATCAAATGGTATCAAATGCAAGATCTTCTGAAGCAGGTGAACCAGGGTGGAAGGAAACATAAAGTTGCGTGTCATCTGCGTATCCATGGACCAAAGGCAGGTGTTTCTTGATAACCTCAATTAAAGTATCAGCTTTTTCATTTGTATTTGTGGTTCTACAATCTGTAAATTTCCAATATGTAGATTTTCTAAACAAAAGGAATAACTGAGGGGGGAGGGGAGAGGTTTCGTTTCGTTTCGTTTCGTGGATTATAGTAGGCCGTGTGGGTAACTATAATCGCCGAAATGGAGCTAATTCTTTGAGATTCGAGCCCTTTTGTTATTCCAAAGTATTCATTAGTGCAAGAGCATATATTAGGACATTCGATTAGGCCATAAAGGTTGGTGTATCGAGTCAAACAGTGCATTTTCCTTGACGAGATATAAACCAATACTTCGTACCTGAGTGAAGCCACAACGTGCCTGTCTGAGTCTGATTTGCCGGATTATTTCTGTCTTTTCTGGATTAAAGAAAACATTGGCATTCAAGCAGCAGTATTCCTAAATGAGGATTGAAGCGTCCATGGTTTTCAGAGGTCAAAGAGAGGTAGCCGTGTTGACATCGCTGGCACAAGCTGGCGCGACGCCAACTATGCCGGCTTTGCAAACTGTCTGACTCTTGAACTTTTTAAAATTACTACAATTAGAATCAGTCTATTCATATTCTTACTTTGTTTTATAGCGTAAGTATGAACAAGGAAAGACTATCAGAGTGAACGGTTTAATATCCTTTAAGCAAGCTCGTTAACTTAAACTAGCCGGATTGAGTCACGTTTGCATTATTGCCGTGTGTGATGTTTATTGTGTTTACACTTTTAAAGATTTCTCAAAAAACTATTGTATATCTAGAGAGCTAATCCCGTTTCGTTTCGTTAAATACAGATTCCCGTTTCGTTTCGTTTCGTTGAATATAGATTCCCGTTTCTTTTCGTTTCGTTTCGTTGATTATAGTAAGCCGCCATCAAAATAACATTACATTTAGAACTTAGAAAATACATGTAAGGCTTTCGCTAGGAAATTTTGCTGCAGTCATCAATACATATGTCTCAACTATGTTGGAATTAACCGATTTTAGCTTCTTGTTACTGAGAAAGTATTTTAGTTCCCTGGCCTACACTACTGAAATTCCATGTTTGTCATAGAAAAGTAATCACATCACTGATAGTAATGCCAGGTAAGGACACAGTTTATTAGGACATTATGTCACCTACCGACCAATCGCTTTATGGGAGTTTCACAAAACTGAGTCTTGCAAAGTCCCGCGTAGCAAAGGCCATCTACACCTACCGACCAATCGCCGCATGGGAGTTTCACAAAACTGAGTCTTGCAAAGTCCCGCGTAGCAAAGGTCATCTACACCTACCGACCAATCGTTTTATGGGAGTTTCACAAAAATGAGTCCTGCAAAGTCCCGATGCAAAGGCCATTCACACCTACCGACCAATCGCTGCATGGGAGTTTCACAAAACTGAGTTCTGCAAAGTCCCGAAGCAAAGGCCATTTACACCTACCGACCAATCGCCGTATGGGAGTTTCACAAAACTGAGTCCTGCAAAGTCCCG